AAACTTCCTAGATGTTCAGAGTCCTCCATCAGCACATAGCTCTCTCAGTCTTTGTCTCCATCCATTGAACGTACCTAAGAAACATTCCTTTGAATCTCTTTTCTGTTCCTTCCAATGATTTTTTTCCCTTCCTTGGGGGATGGGCTTTTGGCTCTGTATATTGGTCAGTTATTTACACCATTATATCTTCTTTCTTCCTGTAAGCTGAAATTGTTATCTCCAAGATACTGTGTTTTTGTATTTGTTTCTTAGATGGTCATACAGTGGGTGGGGTCCTGCTCACTAGTTGTGGCTGTTGGAGTTGAGAGGGTGACTGGGTCATGTGGAAGCAGTTTTTCTGCCAGGTGGAGTGAGGAAGGAATATTCAAAACAGAACAAGTGTACACGCGCACACACACACAAATAAAACTGAGCCAACAACCAAATGAATGGGGACACACACACACACACACACACCACCCCCATGCTGGGACCAGTAGTTTTCTCTTTCTCAGTCACCAGGTGCTGCCAAGGGTGTGCACAGTAAGAGTACAGCCACAGGTGTGTCCAGGAAGAAAGTGGTGACTTCTCTGGTCAACAGCATTGTGGGGCACTAGGAATGATTCTGTCCCTGTTGTGTCCTGCTGGTTCACCAAATCACAAAAGAAGATTGAAAAACAGAGAAAAAACCCAGAAAGCAAAAACTAAAATCGGAACTGTCCACTGCTTTTTCAATACTCCATCCCACGGCTGACTTCTGTAGTCACCAGGGGCTGTGAATATTAGGGATGATTTCATCCCTCTTTTGGCTGTGCTGATGATTTATCAAAACACAGGAACAAACAAACAAAAATATTCTGAAAGAAAACCCCAGCCAGTCTCCAGCTGTGCTGCTGCTCTGAGTGGGATGGGAGCTTCTGCCAAAGTTCTTTGTCAGAGCCAGATGGGAGATTCCAGCCTCTGCACTGCCCAAGGCTGCAAATGTGTGACCTGCATCCCATCCAGTCACCAGGGACCCCTGGGGAACCTGAGATGATTCATTCTCCAGTTAGTTAGCCTCCTGGTGGTCCCTTCTGATCTGCCCCTCCTCCAGTCTGCCCCTACAGTTCCAGGGATGTGGAGGGAAGCATGCAACTGGCCTTGGGGTCCACTAGGAGCCTGGCCACTCCAGTTTACCTGACAGGTATGGGGACAAAGAGGAGGCTCACCTTTCACTTTGTTGGGCCATAGGGATTGCTCTGCAATATGAGAGGAGCCATTCAACCTGGTGAGTGGCCAAAGGAGCATTCACTGCCCCTCTTGATCTTGTTGTGGGGTTCCACCCTCCAGTTTTCTCTGTTGGTACTCGACTCACTCATCTTTCCTCAGAGATTCAGGGCTCCGCATTCTGTTTCCATATGTCTTTTCACATCTGTGTCGCCGTCTTACACATGGGTCCATGTAGCCATCTTTTCTGAAAGCCTATTTTTTCCTTATGAGCTCAAATCTGCTGTTGAATCCCTCTAACCAAGTTCTCCTTATCGTGCTTTCCAACTCCAGAATCTGTTTGCTTCTTAGAAAATTAAAAATCAAAATCATATCACTCTATTGGTATTTACCTCTATGGTGATAAACAACCGTGCTACTTTTATCTAATTCTCTAGACATGTTTTCCTATAGTTCTTTGAATAGCTTAATAATATCGTATTAAAATCTTAAGCCTATAGACCAGAGGATGTACACTGGTACAGATAGGAACTGGAAACACAGGGAATCCAGGGTGGATGATCCCTTCAGGACCAGTGCTGTGAGTGGCAATACTGGGAGGGTGGAGGGAGGGTGGGTTGGAAAGGGGGAATCGATTACAAGGATCTACATGTGGCCTCCTCCTCCCTGGGGGACGGACAACAGAAAAGTGGGTGAAGGGAGACGTCGGACAGTACAAAATATGACAAAATAATTTATAAATTACCCCACAGCCTGGACAAGGGATTTGTTGCAAACAATTGAAAGATTCAACCGCCTCACAGAGTGTAATATCAATGACAGCAAAAATCAAATGAAGAGAGCGCTGAAAAGGAAATCAAGAAAACAATACCATTTACAGTAATCAACCAAACGATCAAATAGACAGGAATAAATCTAACCAGAGAAATAAAAGATTTGTACAAAAAAACCTGTACGCCATTATCACAGGGAATGAAGAAATCTGCATAAGTAGAGGACCATACCATGTTCATAGTTAGGAAGACTTGTTAGATGCCACCCAGTCAGCTGGAATAGGGACCCGATGCATAGTAAATGAAGGAAGCACTGCACAGTCCCGCAAGATCTGCACAGCTGAAGTTCCCCTGCC